GCCCCATAATTCCCTTGAACCCTGCTTTCTTCCCCTTTTCACCGTAATTAGTTTGGTTTCCTTTCTTCCAAGTACATCTAGTTTGGCACAATCATAGATTAATATTTTCCTCTAGTGGTTTCATCAATGTCCTTTAAACACAATTATGTATGTGTAAGTCATTAATTTTGACCTTCACAAAATTGATTAAAAAAACCCCTCCTACATAAAGCTAGCAACAACCTTTCGTTGTCCAGTGACAAATGTTGTCATGTAATTAAACCAATAAATTACATATAAAAAATTTTAAACTTTATTATTCTATTTTCCATTTGATTTCTAATAAATTGATGGGTTTTAGGAAAAATTACAAAATTACAATAGGGTAAGAAGTTAAACAAACATTTTAAGGGATATAATGATCCATGCACTATTTAATATAAGAATAATCTCCTACTTTTTATAAGGTAGGGAGGAAGAGGGATTAATTGTAATCTTAAGCTTGAGATATACCATATCAGCCCTTTTCCTAAACTTTCGACAGAAGTAAAGGGCTAACATTCTTTTTTTTTTTTTAATAAAAAAAATAAGCACCAAAAGAATTAAAGTAATCACCGTATCATTATTCTAATTTTAAATTACGTGCATGGATTTATACATCAAAGTATCATACTACTACGTATGATTCAAGGGACTGAGTGTTGAGATACTGGGATTATAAATGATAATAAATTAATTTACTAATGATAGAATATTAGAATCTTATAATGGAGTGCATGAAAATCAAATTGCGCACTTTGTGGTTTATTATAGCATTAAACCATTAAGTATAGTTGTAAAGGCATTAGCCTTTGATAATTGCTTATCTTGTGTCCAAATATATCTTTTGGAATTTGGACCTAATCCCTCTTGTTATAACAAAATCAAACCTCTTTTGTTCCTAAATAATCCTTCATATAAAATAGGATACATCTGTCGATCTTTGAATAATGTTTAGAAATTTGAATTAAGATACCATATGTTTTAATTTTACTGTCAATATAAATTCTTAAATTATTTTTAAAATTATCATGCATCTTCATATACTCTATTGTATAAACATTTTTTTTAGGAAAAAATGATTTTTGCTACCTATCAAACACATCAAATTGAATTTTGCTACCTATCAAAACTTTTATTGAATTTTGCTACCTAACATATGCCCTTTTTTAAAAAATTTTGCTACCACTGAACGGAATCCGTTAAGTGGGTCCATAACGACACGTATCGTGTTATTATTGGCCAAAAAAATTAAAAAAATAAAATGAAAATAAAAAGAAAAACCTAAACTACCCAGCCACCACCCCCGCGCCACCCCCGTGCCACCACCCCCTTCCCCCAACTCACCGCACCCCTCGCCGAAACCACCACCCGCGTCGCACCACCAGCCCCAACCCACCCTCACCCTCCCCCTCCCCCTCCCTTTCCCGCAACTGCATCGCCCCTAAAACCGCTAAACCCAAAACCCTCGTCCCCAAAAACGGCCAAGAATCTGGCCTTAAAAGGCCGAAATCGGCCGGTTAAGGCCACTGAGCCCCAAAACCGGATGATTTCAGCCATTTGTGGCCAGATTCGTGGTCGTGGTGGGATCTAGGGTTTTAGTTTTGGTGGTTTTTGGGGGCGACGCGGTTGCGGGAAAGGGAGGGGGAGGGTTCAGGTGGGTTGGGGCTGGTGGTGCGACGCGGGTGGTGGTTTCGGGGAGGGGTGCGGTGAGTTAGGGGGAAGGGGGTGGTGGCGCGGGGGTGGTGGCTGGGTAGTTTAGTTTTTTTTTTAAAAAATTTATTTATTTTTTTTATTTTTTTTGGCCAATAATAACACGACACGTGTCGTTATGGACCCACTTAACGGATTCCGTTTAGTGATAGCAAAATTTAAAAAAAGGGCATATGTTAGGTAGCAAAATAAAATAAAAGTTTTGATAGGTAGCAAAATTCAATTTGATGTGTTTGATAGGTAGCAAAAATCAATTTTTCCTTTTTTTTATACGAGTATTTCTTTAATCTAATTTAATCTTTTTATGGGTTGTTCTCTTCACCTTATAAAAATAAGTTAGATAAGGTCAAAGGTCTAATAAGTTCTAATTTTAAGTGAGGTGTAATAAGTTTTAATCAATTCCAATAATAAGGTCCAATAAGTTTTATTAAGTTTTAATAAGTTCAATCATGTCTAATAAGTTCAATAAGCTAAGGTTTGACCTTATACAAATTTGTAGGGAGTTTTGGAATTTTGACAAACATTTTGGTATAATATTTCCTTCAATTTGGTAATTGAGAAGATTTAGGGCCTGTTTTATTCGGCTTAATTTCAATTTAGTTCAGCTCCAATCAGTTCAATTTAGTCCAGTTCCTAATTTCTTTCTCTCATAAACATGACAAACTTTTAAATAAAACGGATGTTCAGTAAATTACTGAACGTCCATTATAAAGTGACAATAAAATGTGCAAAAGTTACACTAAAACACACAAAAGTTACCCTAACATATATAAGAGTTATTTATGCTTCATTGATATATTTGACAAAAGTGACACTAAATTTGACAAAAGTGACACTAAATCTGACAAAATTGTACCCGATGTACAGTAAATTACTGTAAACCGGGTGTATACAAAAGTTTTCCCATAAATAATTCATTCCAGCTCTATTCAGTTCAGTTCACTTCAATTGTTTTCAGTAAATCAGAACAGACCCTTATTCTATTACAAGTTTACAACATTGCACAATTCAACACGACCAAGTTGAACATGATAGTGTGACATAAAAATAAGCGGAGATTGGCAGGTAAGTGTTGTGCTCATAAAATGGCTTGATAAAGTTTGGGCCTAACAACTGGTCGGGCAAAAGTTAATATGCACCCAAACTCGTCCCGAACTCATTTGAGTTGTTCAGCTTATAACATATATTGTATAATTTATATTATTAATAGATTAGTAATTCTAACAAGTCAAAATAAGTTTAAATCGACTACATTGTTATTAATATCCTTCAAAAAAAAAAAGTCAAAATAAGTTTAAATCGACTACATTGTTATTAATGATTCAAATAAAGTAAAGATATAGTCATGCCATTTTCTAAAATATTGTTCCAAATTTTTAATCAAAATCTTTTCCAGTTTCAAATTCTCAATGAAAGAAATAATAGGGACATTTTCTCTTTCCTCCAAAAGTTTTGTTCTCTCTCCTCTAAAATAACCCCCCCGAAACCTAGAACTCACCGGAGTTTTAGCACTGCCCGCGGCCGGTTCTCCGACGGGTTCCTCTTCCATGTTTTAATTTTTCTTTAGCTCGTGTTCTAGCGTTGAAGTTGAAGTGGAACGAGGCTGCGTCCACAATGGGCTTCAAACTCCGCTTAGTACTAACCTCTTCTCGCCGGAAAAGTTCTCTAGTTGATTTTCTGAGTTTTGTAGTTTTAAAGTATAGTTGCTTTGTGAATTGGGTACTAGAGGGTAGCAAGGCTTTTTCAATTTGGGTTTAAGGTTTTGGTTGACGAAACAAGATTCAACGACTAGCTCTAACGCCGCCGACTACGTGCGATCGGAAAGATCGAGTTGGTAAAGCTCGTTAATATGTTTGCCGAAATTTGTTTGATCGTTGTCCTCCAAAGCATTCTCCAAGTTCAAAGGAAAGTGAAATACATAAACATAATGGTGTGTTCCACGTCGCATTCTCAAAGAAAAGTGGCAGATTATTCAAACCAGCAAGATCAAGTGTAGAAGGTTTTTTTTTTTTTGAAATAAAATTGATTCATAAATTAGTCATACGACATCTACAAAGAGATTTAGATCTAACAAATACATAATAATTGAATCAAATAAAAACATTATGTAAGCAAAGCTACGATCGTTGTTGCAAATTGTACATTCTTCATACCCTCTTTCATATCGCTGTGATTTACAGCCTTCTTTGGCAAGGGGGTCTAACGATCTGTTGTAGCCGTGCAGAAAAATTCCGTCTGATTCATTAGATTGTTGTTGAAATATTAATCTCTTTTTCGATCCCGCACAAAATTTTACCCATGAAACAACTCTATAGAAATCCATGAAATAAAAAAGCAAATCCTCCCTCAAAAGAGAGAAGAAAAATCCGGTCTTTTGAAGGAGCCAAATCTTGCTAAAGGGGAAGAAAAACCTTGTCTTTCGAGGGAGAAATATTCCTCCTAGAAGAGGAAGAGCTATTATAAACCTAAAACAAGAGAAAAAGCACAAAAGAAACAACAATTGAGTCTTTCCACCGGTAAATTCGATGGAAGCCCCTTCAAAATTCAACAATAGAGGCTAGGGTTTTAGAGAGAGAAGAGAGGAAAGAGAGGCTAGAAGAGAGGAAAGAGATACGTAACTCTTTACTCCCTCTGTAAAAGTTTTTTTTTTTAATTTAATGTATCTTCGTTGTAATAGAGGAGCTAGTAAGGCTCGTAGTTTGTAATACTTTTATTTTAATTTAAACTGTTGTTAAATAATAATAATAATAATAATAATAATAATAATAATAATAATAATAATAATAATAATAATAATAATAATAATTCCTGGACGGGTTGTGGTTGATGCAACTTATCGAAAGCGGGTTAAATATGAGGCTCGTTGTCAGGTGGTTGTTTAAGGGTTCATGCTCTTCTCCTTTTCTTCATTTGGTGAATTAGAGAATGAGTCTGTTGCGTTGCTTAAGCGAATTCAGAGGTTCTCGACGACAAAAGACATTGGAGCACGTGCTGCAGCTCATATTTTTACTAGGGTAGGCTTTTCTATAGCTAGAGGAGTGAGGGCCCAGATTGTATCTCGGCTTCCCACTAATTTATTGTAGGTTGTATGACTTTTTTTATTAATCTCAATAAAAAAATAAGCCTAAAGTTTAAAACAATGAATGAATTTTATTTTTAGACAATGAGGGAGTTTTTTTTTTTTTAATTTTTATTTATTTAATGGGAGGGAGTACTCTGTAATAATTTTTTTTTTTGAGACAGTACTCCGTAATATTTAAGAAATTATAATAAAATATTTTTTTTTACTAATAAAATATTATCTTTGTTAAAATAGTCAAATGATAATAAATGCTAAACAGAATAAAATTCAGCCAAAATTTATCTTTACAAAGTTTGGTTCAGAAAATATATTTATTCATTTATTTATTTATAATAATTACAAATATTCTCCCGCACACCCAAAAACCAATAACGAACACCCCTTTTTCCTATTCGCCCTCAACCTCCTTCTTCTTCTTCGTACTCCTCTGTTCTTCTCACAATTTCAAATTCAAACCCAGAAAATCCAAAACACCCAGAAAATCATGAACTAAACCCAGAAAAATTCCTTATTCTTCCTTAATTCTTTAATTCACCCAGAAAAATTCTCAAAAATAATAGAACAATGGTAAGAAAATCAAGGAAGAACATCTTCCTAATCATCCTCGCCGTTATCACATTCTTCGCCGTTCTCTCTCATCACATCTACCGTTTCGCCAATCAATCCCTTTCTCTCTCCTCCACCTGCATCTTCCGCCGCCAATCCCTCGATTTTCTCTCTCCACCACCATCACCGCCGCCCCCGCCGTCGAAACCACTTCTTCCATTACAACCACCGCCATCACCACCCTCAAAAGTTTTATCAACCGAAGCAATTTTAATCCCGGATTGGGAAGTCCTCGTAATCTTACCACCCGAAACACCATTACTTCCGCCATTAGAGAACAATTACCTCTGCATTTACCCAGATAAATCCTCAACTCCGGCAAAATTCGCCGGAAAACTCCCTTTCAACGGTGGTTTTTCCTTCAAGTGCAATTTCCCGGCGAGTAATCGGCGCCGTTTACCGTTTTTTCAACCGGCGTTAGTCCGTACAGAGGAGAGAGAAATTCTTGCTGGTGTTCTTCCTCCGCCGAAACTCCTGTTACGGTGGAACTTCATCGTATACGATTCCTTCACCACCGAAAACGACGTCGTTTTGCTCGTCAAAGGGGTCAATAACCGTCAAGGAAGCAGCAGACCTCCGTCAAATTTCCGTTGTGTTTTTGGACATGATTCTTTAACGCCCGTTAAAACTAACGTTACTTCTTCTAGTCAAGAGGTTTTCCGTTGCAATCGTCCGGGAATTACGGGGAGCCGTCCGATTAGTGTAACGATTGAAATTGTGGAGGATGATCGGACGGCTGTGATTATCCCATCGTTGGCTAAGTATGTACCGGATAATCAGCGCACGATAATGCAGTTTGAGAGGAAGTCGCTAATATGCGCCTGTACTATGGTTAATAATGTGGGCAAGTTTTTGAGAGAGTGGGTTATGTTTCATGCTAAAATTGGGGTTGAGAAGTTTATTCTTTATGATAATGATAGTGAGGATGATTTGGGAGCTCAAGTTGAGGGGCTTAGGAATGAAGGGTTTGATGTGAGGACGGTTTATTGGGTTTGGCCTAAGGCGCAAGAGGCTGGGTTTTCCCATTGCGCGCTTTACTCGGCCCGGATATGTGATTGGGCCGCGTTTGTGGATATCGATGAGTTTTTTCTCTCTCCTTCGTGGCTCGAGTCGCCGCGTCCGAGGGCGAATATGCTGAGGGAGTTGTTGCCGGAGAGGCCGGAGGTGGATCGAGTTGGGCAAGTGTCGATTCGGTGTAACGAGTTTGGGCCGTCCAATCAGACGACACATCCAATTGATGGGGTGACTCAAGGGTATACTTGTCGTAGTCGAGCGGATCAAAGACATAAGTCTATTGTTTACCTTCCGGCGTTGGATCACTCCCTTTTGAATGTGGTCCACCACTTTCAAGTCAAAGATGGGTATAAATCGCTCCAAATTGGAACAAATCGGGCTATTGTGAACCACTACAAGTACCAAGCTTGGCCCGAGTTTCAAGCCAAGTTCCGAAGACGTGTGTCGGCTTATGTTATTGATTGGCGAGTGACTATAAACCCTAGTTCAAATGATAGGGCACCCGGTTTAGGCTTTGAGCCTATTGAACCTCCCGGGTGGGCCCAAAAGTTTTGTGAAGTAATAGATGACCGGATGAAAGTGTTGACTATGAGGTGGTTTGGGAATAGTGAGTCCACTATGGCTTGGCAAAGTTCATAGTGTTGGGCTATCTATTCTTTTTGGTCACATACAAGTCTAGATTTTTTTTGCGATACATACATGGATGTGCATAAGAGATACTTCTATCAAATCTCATAATCTAGGAGTATATAGTATTAGCTGATAAATGGTTGCATGTCCCAAAAAATACAACAAGAAAACGTCATAATTAGTTGTATATATTAGTCTCTTTAAGACTGATCTCATAGCTAGATTAAAGGGAGAGAATAGGAGTAGGGAGTTAATTCACTTTTTTGCTTAATTGTTTTGTAAAGAATTGATTCTTCAACAAGGCTAATTAAGATTAAAGCTTTATCATAGTTTCCTGTTTTTGTCATTGTTCAATTGGGTTTTTGATTATTTAATCCATCATTTCAACATTATTAATCATTTAAATGTTAGAAATGTTGAAAACAATAATGAACGTGATATATTGCGTTGTAGTTAAACTTGGTTAGTAGTACTTTTTGGGTTTTTGAGGTAGAAAATAAAGTAAACTTCATTTATACAATACTCCGTAAAAACTTTGGTTCTAAGCTTCATTTAGCTTTTGGCCTTTTTAAGGTGTTTTAGATTCAAACACGAATCAACCTTCTAATTAATTATGTTTTTTTTTAATTTTATTTTTATGTGTGTTCTTTTTCTTTGGGTGATACACAAGCCAATAAAAGTAAATGTTACATAACCAACCGTTTAAAAACGCATAATTCTTTTTGTCAAAGAGGCTTCTGGTGTTTTATCATGTGGTAAAAATAGGTTTGTAATTGGCTTTTCAACAAGCTTTTTGCTCCTTTATAGTCAAAAAATCTGAAAAGGTGGGGTCTATATCATTTTACATAGCCAATTTTCCATGTTCACCGTAATTTATAAACAATCAATACGACAATATAATTTTATCAAAAGAAATAAAAAACTACGACAATATAATATAATCAAGCATTTTGCTAAATAAATTACATATCTATGTCTGATGTTTAATTCTTGCAACATTTGGCTTTTTTATTTCTCTTTTGATTATTCAAATGCTAATTTCATTATTAATATATGTATTTATTATAACACAGACCAATTGACCAGATTGGTAAATAAAAAAGAGCCTTAGCGACAATTTGGAAAAAAAAAATAATTCTTATGACAATTTGGTAAAAAAAATAACCCTAAGCGACAATTTGGTAAATAAAATAATCTCAGGTGACAATTAACCCAAAAAATACAAAAATTTCCGACAAAGTACTCGAGAATGCTTAATTTAGTTCGTTTTTCATGTTTTTTTTATCAACCCTTTTAATGGAAATAACAATTTCAAGAAAAAAAAAATGTTAAAGAATTTCACTTAAGTTTCATACCCCTTATTAATGAAATTCTTTTAAAAAGGGGTTAAAAAAAATTGGTATTGGGATTTAGCAAAAATAAAAAGGGGATGGCATAGTAATTCAAAATCTTAAATGGGAAAAATAAATTTAAAAACACAAAAAACAAATTAAATTAAGTTTTTTAAAGAGTCTGTCGACAAAAATAAGATTTTTTGGGCTAAATGTCGCCGGAGTTTTTTTTTTTACCAAATTGTCGCATATAGTTAGTTTTTTTACCAAATTGTCGCCGAAGTAAGTTTTTTTACCAATTTGTCACTAAGGGTCTTTTTTATTTACCAATCTGGTCAATGATGATGTAAATTCGTAATAAAATGATTTTAGGTCAAAACTATTAATACGAAGTATATCTCCTATTCCTTTCTAGTAGATCAATATGGAGTGTTATTATAGCCATTCATTACATTTTTTTTTTCCAATTCCTGTCACTAAGTATATATAATACATGATTAGTTGATGATAACCTCATAAAGTAAAATTAACATTGTTATAAGATTGGAGGCTTGGAGCATTGAATTGAATGGTGTGAAAGTTTTTCCTTTATTTTCTATTTTGACATCTTTGTTGTCATGAGTGAATTGAGTGGGAAAAAAAAAGCTTGTGTCGAAGTTCAAGATATTGGTATTATTGCATGTGCATGAGTTATACTAACGTACCATACACAAAATTATTAAATAAAGTAGAAATATTCAGTGGAATACAAACTATATTATTGGTAAAGTAACTAGACTAGGCTTAGGTAGTTAGGTGGATATCAGATGATCAGTTTGTTAACTGCTTCTTCTGTATTGAATTGGCTGTTAATTAACTAATTGTATCATGAAAAGCTCTATTATTCTTTCATCATATTCATTCAAGTATAAATTAATGGACAATCTAGCATTGGTTATGAATTTATGATGTATTATGAATAATTAAGTTCTACGAGTAGTAGTTTGACCAAAAAAATCGTGAGGGGTTGAGGTACAGTTAGGGTTCTTTTTTTTACTTAAAAAATGATTATTTTCTTCTATTTACCTTTTGGGATAAAGATTAAAGGCTATGTTGTTTTGGTATTAGGGAAAAAATGAAATAAACAAATTGGTTGAGAATTTTCTAAATTTAATTAATTCTAGCCTTATATCGATTGATTAATTGATGGGACGATATGATGCTTAAAAATTATTAATTAAAAATTAATGATATGTATGCAAAAGGAAAGAAGTTATATTGATACAACTTTGTATACCTTTCAATGACTCAATCACAAGGCAAATCCTTATTTCTAAATTATTTAATAGTGTAAATTTTCTCATAGTTAGAAGAGCATCGAGCGTAATACTTTTAATGAACTATACATCGCGTATCGCCACACATACTCAAGTGACATAAAATGCACGGGCTGACATGAAGAATACGGTGCAGTGTTCTATGACTTGACGCGCAGCCTGAACCATGGAACACAACCAGGCTAGTAGAACCGTTGAAAAGGATACATCAAAACAAATAAATATACACACCATATATAGTGAGTTGGGGATAATGTCTAAGGCACTAGAATGTGCAATCAATTCAGAACAAGACATACTTATGCGGCGTAAATTAAGGCAACATATATAGTTAGGTGATACTTACCTTTAACCCTATATCCACCTGCTGCTATTAATGCTGTAAATCTCATTATATCATTGCATCCGTCTTTATCATAACTGATTTGGTCATTATATCCTAACACAGTAACACATCAACAGTTTACAGTTTTGAATACGGTTACTTGATTTAAAAGAGCAAAGCTTAAGATAATACACCGCGAATTTGGCACCAAGGAAAAATATGATTACGACTTTATTAGCAAGCTCCTTGAATCTGCTACTGTAAATTCAAGATACCTGTATTAACCTTTAACACAATTACTTGGTACAAATTACAATGAATGTAACTCTCTCTTTCTATTTCTTTCTACATTTCTTCCTCAAAAGAGTCCTTAAGAAAGTTTGCGTTCTTTCCAAAAGAGGGAAACAAAATATTAATATGCGAAAGGAGAAGAGCTTTCCTAAATCACCAGAACTGTATAGTTTTCCCCAATTAAACTCAATAGTTGGTGAACCAATCTGTACAGCGTTTCACCCGTTTCTACTACCACTGTGACTGTACCAGCCAAGAGACTAGAGAGAATTTCCATAATATACCTACAACTAAAGAAAAGCCTAACATTGATATTTTAAAGCTGCAGGACTAAGTCTAGTTGCGGTGGAGAACCAATGGGCAAATTTGTACTTTTCGAACCAGATGCCTGAAATCCCTTATTGAGCTCCGCCGGATATGGGCGATCCCAACTTTCTTGTATGGATAGATTCTGCCAATATGGCATCCCATGGGTGACCATATCATTTTCGGAGTTTATCACGCCATTGAAGCTTCTTGAGGGATCAAATGAGCTTGAATCCAAACCATGAGGATTAAAGAATGATGATGATGTCTGCCTACCCATTGCTTCCTGAAAATGAGAACCTGGAGCAAAACTGCCACTGAAACCATTCATGCGCGGTTGAACAGAAGCCTGATGTTGAATCTGCAACAAAGGGCCAGGTCCCACCACCCCATTACCACCTTTCAGTGAAGACCATTCAAAATTGGAACTTAATTCTCGAGAATCCATTGGTTTTTCAGGGCAAGATGTAGTGGGTTTACCAGCCAAATTAGAATTTCTGAAGCCTGATGTCGACAGATGGTGTGATTCACTATTGAAGGAATCTTGTGACTGTAATGAGTTCTCTGGCAAACAAGGTAGTTGCGCTGATGACACCTTGCTTTCGCCAACCCATCCAGGACCAAACTCTACACCTGGCGGCAGAACACTTCTGATCTTTTTCGAGGCAACCTTCCAAACTTCAGGCCCAAGTTTCGCAGCAAATTGAGCCAGGCTTCTTGCATAGCTATTAGAATCTGAGGCAAGACCTACCTGCTTGAGTTTTCACAAGGAAGCATATTAGCTTAAAAGGTACTTAAACCAGGGAAAGTCAATATAACAAGAAAAAGTGTCTAAGATGATCTTAAATACACATACTGGAATTAATTGCCTCTCAAAGCCTCCAAAAGTAGCCATTTGTTGATCCTGTCCAGAATCAGGCTCACCAGAAAAGTAGTAAGTGTCACGCCTACTTTCATCTGAACCAAATGACTTTTTTCCATACCTGGATGACATTGATTTAGAAGAAGATCCTGAAAGCCAGTTGAGAAAAGAATCAGACATCAGTAATCTTTAAGATGATGAGAAAAGGTGTGAAAGAAGCTGTTTAACATAATAAACAAGAGACAGAATAAATAATGAGTATGAAGCAGCAAAAAACACACTTCATTGGATTACCTGAAAAATCAAAACAATTTTCAAGATAGCGAGGGAACCGGTACAAACTAGGTCCTTTCCTCAGATTGTAAGACCCTGATCTCCCCACATCCTCCTCCAGAGAAGCAGGAGTGGCTACTCGAGAAGCAGGTGTAGCACCTCGAGAAGCAGGTGTAACATCCCAAGAAGCAGGAGTAGCGTCTGATGATGACTCACGAACATTGCGATCTGGGGGTGAGCTTTGAAGGAGCTTTTTCAAATTTCTACTACCTGGTGGTCTACCTCTCCTGGGTTTGGCAGGTAGCTCAATAACACCACCATCTTGTTTCAATATTTCAAATTCCTTCTTTGCAAGTTCTTGGATAGCTCGGGCCTGAGACAATCACCAGCTTTAAACTAATGAACAAGATGGCCCAAAGAAACACGGAATTATGAGAGCTCTTACCTGTCGATGGAATACAGTTGAAGGTGAATTGTACTTCATTGCATTTGAACATATTAAATTTATGTCATCCTGTACAAAAATTCAAAGAGCTTAGTAACCAAACCAGTGGCTGGTAATGGATCCTTGAATACAAATCAATGCAGCCACAATCAATAGAAAGAACAGCATTATTTTCTTAACCAAATCTATCAGAC